CGCCACCACCGAGAACTTTCGTAATTTGACATAACAGATGCACCTGCTGAATTCGTAATACTTGGAGAGAGCCACCCGTCGGCCTCCTATCGGTTTCCGATACCCAAATCCTGTCATTAAACCTAACGACGACGTATATTGAATTACACCAAGGGCCGATTGTTCGCGAAGACCCGAAACTGCTACGATCTTGCTCGTGTCCTAGCCTGCAATACGGCTTTCCAGCTCCTTTAACTTTTCATTTTTAACTTGCTGAGCATGGCGAAGGTATTTCCCTATTTTACACATTCCTGAAGTCAGGGTGAGGAAAGCTATTATCTGTTCCCTCCTTTTTTTACCTTTCAGCGTTCTTGTGTAAGGAGAGAGCATACAATTTTTTATTCTTCACGTCTCTGGCTGAAGGAGAGAATTTATTTTCCATTCGTATGAGTTTTTGTTGCTTCTTGAGTGTTTGGATGGAGAGGAGAGTCTACATTTTCCTGAATTTTCTTTTTCCCCATTGTAGAATTTGCGGAAAGACCATTTCCCACATTTTAGATATTTATTTCTAGAGTCCTTGGATGCAAAGAGCACTTCCTGAAACCTGAATGAATCGTATTTCGCATTTTCCATATCCACAGACAGAAAGGAACTCAATTTTCCCTTTCTCGAAGTTTCTCCTCCCACTCCTAAGAATATTCCTATTCCAGAAAATTTCCAATAATTAATTTCTTTAATTTCGACAATTTTTAAAATCCCCTGCAATTTCTGTATCTTCTCCAGTGAAAGGAGGAATATATTTAACCTCATTTTCACTCGATAAAATCGAAGAAAAAGTGGAATGAGGTACGAGCGAAAAAACAACGGGGATTCGCGAACCCTGTGCTATCCTATTGGTAGTCGAGAACGCTACTCGCCACGCCATCGAAACTTTGATGACAGTGTTTCCTATTTCCTGCATATCTCGTATAACCAGAGAATTCAGCCGTATCCACCACGACCATTCCTGATAGCAGAGTTTTAATTATCTCGCGGGAACGAGTAATTACGCGAAACTAAACGTACACGTCGAAATTCAAGCTTAACGAAGCCGGAACGTCAGAGGAGAGATAAGAGAAGCTATGGCGTCGGTCATCGGTGGATATTGCGTCAAGAATGTGCGACAGCAACTTCCGACGTGGCTGGTGAATGTCGAACATTTCGTGCTGATATCAAATTTACTATGAACTCAACGCTGCGCTGTATTCCTTGGGAAATTGGTGAATACCCGAGACTAGAAATGTAGTTGTTCAACTTTCTTATGAAATTGGCGAACACACAGATCTGTAGTTTCTAAATTTTCAAAGTAAAACATTGTTTTCAGAAAATTCAACAAATCCTTCGTCAGAATATTAGAACAATTCCAAAAGTAATCATTTCGACAATTACACCAATCATCCCTTTTCTCCCTCACCAACGACGATAAATCAAGCATTCAGACTCCATTCAACATCGAACCAAAACAGATCACCAAGCAACTACCCCATGTAATCGTTGTATAGACTCGGTCAAAGGGATTATCGAGGTCGATCTCGAGGCCGAAAGAATCAACGGAGGCGCTCGATGAATTATCGATGGCCCGAGGCTGCCTCTTGCAAAATCGTTTTCCGCTGGAAAGAAGGATTCGATTCGCTGGTTGTTCGAGTTTCAGAAAAAAAAACGTCTCCCAACCGTGGACGCCATTGTTGCCACAATATCGACCACGCGTTTATCGAGGTTAATCTTCGAACCCCCGTGCTAATTCACCGGTAAATACCCGTATCGTTTCTTCGAGAACTGTCCAATTGTGACCGGGAATACCTGATTACGGAGAATCGAAGGTAAAGAAAGAAAGGATCAATTTCGTAAGGTAAATCGAAACGGTGGTTCTCGTAGAGGTGTATTTAATACGATTAAAGGGGATTAAAATAGTAGCTGCAATTGATTCCATTCAAATGTGCTTTAAACGAAATTTGTGAATTTGTCATTGTTTGGTGAATTTCAAGGAAACTGACACAATTTCCTATATACATATACTTATGTAGGATCCGAGGGAAAATTTTAGGGACCCAATGGGAATCGAACCCGCAACCTCCGTCACTACGACAAAAACATGCCATTTTTATTTTTTCTTGGTCTTGCTCCTATAGTTCCGTATGGAGACTCCAAACCCGCATATAAAAATAAATCACAGCTTATAAAATGATTTCAGTTGAACATTGATATTCAGTTTAATAATTTTATGAAATGCTTACCGGAATACTTGTTTCGATGAATGCAATACAGGCGATTCTTTAAGCTCCATGCTTTTTACGTTCAATTTTAGCATATCTGTGCCACTTATCAAAAGTATTATTTACATTTCTTTTCAGACGTGAATTTTCAGAAATATTTGCAAACTAATGTTCTTGAACCCATTGCACAATATTTTTAGTTGGCATCGTAAAGAAATGGCTAAAAATTTGTCTCCTCTTTCTAATTATTATTTACCATTACTATCTATTAGGTGTACAAATTAATTCGCGGCGATTAATCAGCTGTAACTTTACTTCGAATTGAATCTTTCTCCCCGTTGTGTTAGAGTCCTGAAGTTGCTTCTATTAGTAAAACGAAACACTGTCGGACTCGATGTGACTAATGTGAATAGACACTGCGTCCTTTTTGCATTTCAACTTAAAAAAAAAGTGCTCTTGAAGCGAAAGGCCTTTGGGATGGGAAATTCTGCCTCATACGTCTTATTCCCCAGACTATTATCTCTTTCGTTCACTTGAGCACCATCTAACCGATTCAAAATTCAAAACATACGAAGATGTCAATATAATAGCATTGCTGATTTTATACGTTCGAAGCCGCCATCATTTTTTCGAAAGGGAATTCGCCAACTGCCTGAGAAATGGAATAAATGTATAGCAAGTGATGGAGATTATTTCCAAGACTGAACTGTACTTTGGTTTTCTTCAAATAAATAACAAATCCACGAAACAAAGGGCACGAATTAATTTGTACACCTAATATATGTATATTGAACCCTTTAACCTGCAACAACGTGTCAGACTCGTGGCAGAGATTCTGGTGAAGATGTGACAAATATAGGTACATTAGTAAGAAAAATTAATTGTACTCCGAACTTTCGTTTTAATTTGTAAAATTGAGGATTCTTAAATGTAATTGACCTGTAACAGATTAGCTTCTGTTGTTTGATACAGTACTAAAGCATTAAATGGCTGACGCTTATATGCATAGTCAGAAAAGAAATCATAGGTTAAGGGGTTAAGAATATGAAAAAGTTTGAAAAAGAAAAGAGTAGCGTGGGACTTAGTTGGACATGTGATTTGGAAAGTGTATTTAAAATAATAATAATAAGAATTTATTAACAAAGGTAAAGACTAAAGTTAACTATAGACCACGCTGTTTCCACACTGAATTTCCCTCACACAATCTTTCTTTCCACGCTTTCAACTCAAAGTCTCCTCTCTTCCAAATTTTACCCCACACTGACTCTCATTCCACACACTTGGTTTTTTAAACATGCACCCTCTCCATTCTCTCCCGAACATTCACACTCCCACCACGCGCACACACACCCCTAGGTTTTTTCCGTAACGATTGAAACTAACTTAAAACTAACACGCTCCATCGAGGCCTCGCGAAAATGGTCTGTTCCCTACCTGAGCTTTTATTGCCCCCGCCGTTCGTTTCTTGGGAAACGAATGAACCTACGGTAGTGTATTTTTAACTCAATTTTGGAAAAAAGAAATCACCCCCAATTCTAGTTCAACACTTCCCAAAGTTGTCCCTTTTTTTATCTCTCCAAGTGGACGAACTTCTTGAGAAATCCATAATGGAGACACAGGGGCGATCTCCTTGAGCTTGGTAAACGCTGAAAGATGTCCATCGCCGCGTGTTTCAAAGGAAACCGAAACGCAGCCGCCGATTAAGTTACTCTGGCTTCCACGATCGCATGCTCCGTGCAGAATTACATTGTGCAGGACGGCTTGGTTACAATACTGGTTCATTGTGGGGCTTCAAGGCCTCATCATGAACGTATAGGATGGAAATCGAGGTAGCTAACGTAGATGCCCGGGCCAGAGCACACAGACGGACAGACAAACACACACATGCGCGCGCGCATAAGTATCGACGAGGGTGAATGGGTCGAGAACACAATGCACGCCATTCCCAGGCATCGAGGTCTCATTTCTAATCAGAATCCCAGTTTGCCTGGCTAATAGCACACCTGAAATCTGGCCACCTTGTCTTCCATCGCTTGTTACGTATCGCTGTAACACGATTAGTCGGCCAATTTTCACCATGCTACTACATACTCTACGTCGAGTGTTTCACCTGTTACTGTTGTTACTTTAACGGAAAAAAATTTCCACGTGTTACTTAGGAAAATATTGAGAGTAATTGAGAAAAAATTGAGAACTCTGAAAGTATTGAATTTTGTAAGAATTAGCATTCAGTACTTTCAAAGAATGTTGATCTTCAAGTTATGTTAATGTCATAAGAATTAAGACACCTATTATGTTCGTACAGAAAGTATTGCACGATTTAAATTACACTTCTTCACCAAAGTTAGTATCATATATCGGTAAAAATATACAGGACGTTTGCGCTATTAATTTCCATCGTTTTCCTACACCCATTTGTAAGAAAAATAGAAAAGGACAAAGTACGGAATTTCGAACTGAACTTTGGTCGTAGCCGGGACCAAATGCGGACGCTTAAGTGGGGAGGTGACTTTTGCGAATTTAACTAAACAAAAGAGAGGAGATGTGTCTGAGTGGGATACCGATATATCAAGTGTCAGTTGTTCACATTCAGGAGTCGATATCGAATCACTTTGTTTCACTCGGCACGCTCGAACTCCACTCTCGATGTCCCATTTCCAAGAATTGGAAATTGGCGGGGAACTGGCGGGGATAGCGACGGACGCTTATATGTGCACCTACTGTAATTGTTGCCTTGCAAAAAACAAAATTCTCCATTGACTGTTGCAGCTTGCAACAAAACGTATTATGGCGACGTGGGCAAAACCTACGACCTGGAGCTTCACCGACCGAAGGAGGATAAGGTGCCTTACATTTGCAAGCTCACCTTTAGCGCGCCGGGTGGCGAGCTGGGCGACATCGTTCAGGCAAGCCTCCGAATCTCTCATTATCCCCTTTTGTTTAAACAGAGACGCCACAGACACCGGTAACTCTGCTCCTAATTAACGTAAACCTCGAATGAGAATCGCCTGTTAATTAAACAACCGCGTATCTCGTGCAAATGGCCCGTTAACGCAGCAGCAAAATCGAAGCAACTCATTTATAAAAAAAGAAAACAGAAGAGATCTTTAATGCAGCAGAATGAAAGGTTCCTCTGGTGATCACGGTACGTTGCACGTTGGAAACACAGGCCAGGTAGAGAAACGTTGCTGTTTTTACTGGTCGAAAACAGTACTCTCTGGCTAGCAGAGGAACGGTGAGGGAGGGGGAGAAAAAATAAAAGGAGAATTCCAGGGGGGAAACAAGGCGAAACCGTGGCTACCGGACGAGCAAGAATTAACGGTGGAATTTTTAATAACGCAAATTGCCAGGTTAGCACGCTGTAGCTCTCTCGCTGGCCCCGAAAACTTTCGAACGAACAGATGGACCGTCGAAACTTTCTTCCGTTGCCAAATTTATTTATGCGCCGCCTGTTTGCTTCCCCTCCCCTCTCTCTCTCTCTTTCCGCTGCACGGTGTGTTTGCCGTTTTTATCAAAGGAACGCGGCCAGTGTTTCCAGGACCTCGTGATGACCGAGGGGAAATTGGATGAGTAGAACACTGAACGTTCCTGAAGGTTCCTTCTTTCGCTGAGAAAGAGACCAGGAAGGGAGTAATAGTGCTTTTGCCTGGAGAGAGTTTTAGTATCAACGAATCTGGTAATTTGGTGCTTCTGTAATGATATAGTGCGAGGGATGTTTTATGTTGAATGTCTGGGAGGTTAGTACAATTATTCGATAATTGAATTCTTCGTGAAATTCTAAGTTAATTATAAATCTACAAATGCAATCACTGTGTAGAATATTGTAATTTTCAATTTAGATCAGAATTTACCCTCTCGTGCACTCTAATATCGTCAACTAGTAGAGTATCAGAATATTGTCGGTCAAAGTGATGACTCAAATTACGATAATTTTCACTATAGCTTTACTAGAAGCCTTTGACAATGAAGTTGAAAAAGAAGACGAAATTGATTTTCTTTTCTTTTTCTTCAAACATGTTTCTTTTCCACATCTAACACTCGATACTTGTTCACTCGCTATAAACATTCACACGAAATTCCCATTCCCATAATGTTCCCTCGTAAAATAAATAAATCGATAAACTTTTGGCCAGTGAAAGTGCAAGTTTCTCTCAGATAAAGTAAGGAAAACATTAGGTTTACTAAATAATTCCCCGCCGTTGAACGTGTGGCGAGTAACACGTGGCTTCTTTCGATTGCAGTTGACGTTCGACAGCTTCACCCTGGGGAAATTCGTGTCGTTCACCGCGGAGGGCTGTCCGGATGGTTCGCTGCAAATTTCGGAGGCCCAGCGACCGGACGTCGGAGGCCTCTGGTGTGGAACATCCTTGGGTCCCGCGATCTACTACAGTGAGACACCAACAGTCTCCATCACGCTGAAGCTACTCAGGCTCAGCAAGGATCAGACGGCATTCAATTTCGACTTCAGGATGGCGTACAAGATGATCAAGAAGTCAGACGCCGTGGTACGCTACGGGAATCCGTTCGTCGGTGGGTATTCTTCAGCTGGATCCTATTTCAGGATCATTTGTTTCCCCCTTTCGCCACGGGGAGATCAGCAGAATCTTCTTGGAAATAGCACCTTCCAGTTTCCATTGAAAAGTCTGTCGATTGAAATTCTCGAGCAGAAAGTTAAAAAGGTTCCTACGAGGAAACTACCGATATTGATGAAATGAGCCGTTTTAAGTGGTATAAGTCCATTTTTGGAAAAAAAATGAGTCAACGGTAGTTTTAGTCAGATAAAAAAAAAAATATTGGACTTGTACCACTTTCAAAAACAGCGGCTCATATGGCAGTACTCAAAAGAATATTCGACACGTAGGTATATCTTTTTATCGGCAATCGTCCACACCCGAGTAGCCAGAATCACCCTAAAAAATTAGGATAGTACCTAAACATTTCAATATCGCGATTTAATATCTCGAAAATGATCAGAGATAGAGAAATGGTGTGAATTAACGAATTTTGTATTTTTCGACAGCAAATTTGACTACGTAAACTGATTTAAAGGAAGTCCATTTCGTTTCATGCAAACGTACTTTTTAGGAAAATACAAGCTTACAAAAATACCACAGAAGGTAGATGATGAATCTAAAAAATGTTTTTAGAAACGAAAATAGAAAAGCCAACAAAATGTACAGAATTTTAAAAAATCGTTTATAAAACGAAGATATGAAACTGGTAAAATATACCAGGCGGTGATACGCAGAATTCAAAAAATGCTTCAAAAAGCTCAAAATATTTTTCTGCTGTCAACAAATTAAAATTCCTTTTTCAGCGATAACGCAGACGACAGGGACGCCAGCATCAACGGAATCAAGCGTGTCGACGTCGTCCAGCGAGTACGCGAATAGCTCGATAGCGATGCCTGTACAAATGGTGGATCAACAGCAATCGAGCACCGCGAAACCAGGCACAGAGCAATACCTCGGGGACCTGATATCCGGCACCTACTGTTCCCGCATATTCAGCGACTGCGACCGGAAGAAGTGCAGGCTACAGTCGCCTAACTTTCCCGGATTGTACCCGCGCAATCTCACCTGCTACTATGCGGTAAATCCTATGGGAACGTTCCCTCTCTCGTGGAAAATTCTCGTGTAAACCTGTATCTTAAGCGAGGACCACTTAAGGATAACACAATTTAGCGGTCATATGAATTTCGTTCTTGAAAGTGGGTTTTCTTTTTTCAATTAATTCTTTTAATACGGAGAAGGGATATATCTTGAGTTTTTTGCGACGATAATTTGAAAATACTTGGGAATAGTATGGAGACTAATAATTTGGGAACGTAGAGTAACACTAAATAGATAGTAATTGGAGAAGTTCAATAATAATATAAAAATAGTAGTGAGGTGGGTGAGGAACGTCGTTACACTGTTTTCATCTCAATTGTTAAAGTATAAGTGTATGGTCGCATAGGCGTACAATTTGTCCGGAATAAACAATCGTTTACGTTGTTGATTGTCCCGGTTCGGCGGCGGGTACGTCGCGATGGTCGGTAAAGGAACAAACTGTCCAGAGGTGTAGGCGTACTGGGTTTTTATATTGTTAGGACAGGGAGACAGGAGTAGAGATAGATAAAGACAGTAGTGGAGTAAGTGGTGGAAACGGAAAATTCGTTCGTCCTCGTGCGAACCTGGATGCCACATGTGCGCTTCTTAGGCTACTCGAGGACGAAGGCAAAGTCTCAACCCGGGGAGAGACAAAAGAACGGAAACTAAAATCTGAAGGAGGGGGAAAAGAGAAACTTCGCGTGGAAGAATAGGACGACATTCGGTAAGGGTTTGTTGACGACGACGTACCCGCCACAGTACTTTAGAGATGACATTGAAGGATAATGAAAATGCGTGTTACTGGGTTCAGCAATGTACCCACGCAGTAGTCCGGTGAAGTGTTTATTGATACAAGACTGGCCTCCTGTCGTCTCGCCTTTTTCCAACTAACTTTTCGTCGCCTTGTTAGTTTTCCTGATTGGCTAACCCGTCGCATCGATGTTAGCCAATCAGGTAATTTTCTTACAAGTCGCTGCGTGTCCCTTGCGCCCTTGGCGCGCTTTTTTCGGGACCGCGGTGCGACTTGGCGGAGAGGTGTATTCCACATTCAGCGACACAGGTACTCGTAACGTGTCCGGTCGTGGCCTCTGGGCCTCGTACGGCGGACCTTTCGGAAACCCTTGGTTTCTGACGCGGCAATTTACTATTGAGGCCATCGAAGAAAGTTTCTACGCGGACATGCATTGTCGGAATTCTAGAAATCAAATAAACTAAAACGGTTTCCTCAAAAAGCGTCATGAACCGTGCTGGTCGTCTCCACGCCAAATGTTATTTCCCCGGGTATTGTAGCTGGTCGCTACAACATAATAAAATATTCAACGAGAGTTTGATTCCACTGTTATTAATTCTGAAAATTTTGGGACACATTTTGTTTAATCTTGTGGAAATTGCACAATTTTGGAGATTCATGGATTTACAAGAAATATTTGGAAAATTTATTTGCTTCAATAATGGTACAGTGAAAATCGATACTCGTATGTCTGGTCAAATTTTTGTACATGATATTCTGTGGGAAATGTGGAATATAGATAAATTGGAATCTCTATTTTTTGAAGGTAATAAAATGTGAAGGGGATGACAGAATATTTCACATAGAAAGTAAATAACTTTAATAAATAATCCTTTCAACGACCATTAGCTAATGGAAAAGTTAATATAGAAGATATTTACCATTCTGAAAGATTCATTCTTCTCGTACGCTACTCTTCGTGGATTTGAAGAACGATTAGGCGAAGGAACAAATGCTAAGAGTTATTTTCCACGCGCTGGAAAGGCCGAGATCATAAATCGTCGGCGAATAGCGACGATTCCGTGGACCAAGGGCTTTCTTACCGGGCTATTTGAAAATTTATGCACCTGTCCAGTGGAAGAATGAAATTCGAGCGCAAGTGGATGCCGGGAAATGGCTCGGTTTCTGGTGTTTACGTAACTCTCGGATGCACCATGAATTTCCCTCACATTTTCCAACTATGACTTTTCAAAGTTATTCTCTGAAAACCACCTTAGAAAAGAAACTTTTCAGGAATTCTCGGAAAAGTATTCTTCATATTCCGTATTGTTAATAAAAATATAAAATGGAATAGTATTGGTAAGCTTTAGCAGGGGAAAAAATCGTTCTGGTAAGAGGAGTACGAAAATATAGAGATCAGTGGGTAAGAATCTGGCTAGCGAAGTGTAGGGCAGTACCGGCCACTCTAAGTTTCTGTACTATAACTTGGGCTAAATAAGCTAAAGAAAGTAATTTGTAGTACAAAGGGTGCTTAATAAAAGGGGACAAATCGTTTTTCTTAAATTTTCTCACAAAGATAAATAATTCGTAGAAATGGAAAAGTTGTAATTTGTAGCGAACGAAAAATTGTCGTACAGTACCGGGCAGCTACTTAGTAGATTTTAAGGTCTGAGTAATAAATAACGTTAGTAAAAATCATTTAAAAGTAGAATAGATCTTTTATTTAGGCACGTCTACAAATATCACAGGTAAAGTGATCGATATTTTCTTGATCTCCACGTGAGCCCAACCGTTGCATTTGATGCACTGCACCCAATCTTCGTTAAAGGGTTCTTTACAAATGATGCACTCACTGATTTGTTCGTCAATACCTAGGTTCCTCCTTCGTGAGCTATGTTTTTTCTTATTTATCTCTTCTTGTAACTTCCTTCCTCTCTTGATTTTTTCATTTTTCTTTAGTATTTTCTCAGCTTTTCTTGTTTTTGCTTTCAATTTTTTCTCATTAACCGGTTTCTTTTTTTCCTGAACATCTTCTATAAAAGACACCTATGTTAGACACCTGAAATATTATTTGCATGACTGATGTTTTTAACAATTTTCGTAAAATCAGAAGATACGCTTGCTCATTTCGGACATTTTTTCTGTAGAAAAGCAGAGAAGAAAAACCTAGCGACTTGAATTGTAAGAAAAAATTTTTTTTAAATTTGGCCGGTACTGCACGACAAGCACGTGGAAAAACTTTTAGGTTTAATGCATAATATACAAAGCAAATTGCACAAACCGGGGCATTTGTGTATACCTAATAGTCTAAAAATAATGTACATACTGTAACAAAATTATTTAATTACTTGAAAAGTTAGAAATCAGCTATGAAAAGTTCACACCAGCGTAAACGTTGAACGTCTTAGAACTCTGGTAATACTGAAGAAACAAGAACGTCGCTGGAATACGTTGCTCAGGGCTATAGTATTTATTTGTTTATCCATCAATAGTGCAGTCAACTAACAGTATAAGCGAGATCTAGCTTTGGCCGGTACTGCACGACTCTCCCCTATAGGACGTTTGGCTGCCGCGAAATTTTAGCTAAGAATATGATTCGAATCTCACCGGAGTTGTTCCGATTTTTTTTCAAATTTGACTACTCTGTCGCGGTTGGAATTGGAAAAGGCTCATTTTGGAGCAATTTCCAACTTTATCCAAAATAAAAATGAGGTTTTGTGGTTCCTGATAGGTTTCTTTCGAATTGTTAATAATATTAGATATTGAATGTCCAATTCTTCTTGTATCTTCCGCAGAAAATGCATTCGGAAAAAAGTTCGTATGGTGATTCGCTTAGACAAACACACCAAGTTCCTTAATAATGCATTCGAACGAATACTGGCGGAGGAGGATGCATTAAAGGAAACAGTGGAAAAATTCCTTTATCCAACAAAGCGGAAGAATACCCTGAATACAGGGTATTTTATATTCTGGAATACATCCAAAATTGAACCAATAAAAAATCCAATCACCAATTTATCCACAAAATCCCACAGGATCCACTGTACAACTTCCACCCAAAATATTCAATCTACATACCAAGATGTTGAAATCTACCAACTCTTCGGAGCTGCAAATCCGCAGATTTTCACGCGGCAATTGAGAAGAGGCGACTGAAATCCCTTGTTCCTCTAATGAATATTAACAAAGCTCTTCGCTGCTCGAGCTTTAGACAGAGACGGCAGACGTTACTGACATTAAAACGTTCCCCTCGACACGCAAAACAGAACCGGTAATCCGAGAAGCCGTATTTCACCGCGAAATCGCGGCGGTCCGAGCAAATTGAACGGGTCGATGCATAGTCAGAACGAAAGAGAGAGAGAAAGAGAGACAGAGTGGTGTATCGGTTCTAAACGAAGCAGAGGAAGGATCCCTCTGGTTAGCATTCCGACGAAAATTTACGAGGTAACCTCACAAGGCCACGGCCCGTGGACCATTATTCTCCGCTTGTGTGGCCACGCTAAACTCGACTTCGAAGCGCCTAAATACACTTCGATACGACGCGATGGTTGAAATTTCGCAAGTTTTTCGACGGCAATCAGAATAATGAAAAATTCCCTCGGACGGTTAAAGAGGCGTGCGTTAAACTCAAAATGGGGAAGAAGAAATGAAACAGGGACATAAAATAAAATGGTCGTGTTCGGAGGGACACATCTTGCGCGGGAAGCGACTAAAGTCGTTTTGCGCGGATTATTGGTGGCTTTTGTAATGTTTTTACAATAAGATCGGATACACATGAGTACTAGGTCGACGCCCGTATATTTCAACATTAAAACGTGCGAATCTTGCAGAAAATACAGTAACTTGGAAAAATATTATTAATGAAATAATAACAAGTTTATTAGTAGGGAGCTGAATTAATGATCAGTTGATAATAATGATATTTCATAAAAATGATATAAATAAAAGTGGATTTTAAAATGGACAATCATCTGGAATTTGCTGAAATGGAAAGTGAAAGAAGCACAAGTAAAAACTGGTCGAAGCTGGTCTTTTTATTCCATTCTTAATTTTTAAAGAGAAACTAAAAGTTTTATTTAAAAAGAAACCTACAGTTCAAAAACTACAGCTATTTTTTGCAGAAGTAATTTTGCGTACGAATTGTAAAAAATCGCCCGCTAGCCGGTGAGAGTTTGGCGGCAAAGCACCCGCGCAAGATGTGTTAAGATTATGTGATTGGTGTGGGGAAGAAGGTCATAAAAAATAGAAGACACAGGATGTCGTTTGTTCCACGCACAATGGCCTGTAAACGTTCGATTATGTCTGTGCAGGGGATCGGAGATGGGCAATTATGGGGGTGCTTTGATCGAGAAATAATTCGATTTGACACGCTTCTTTGGATATACAGTCGGTTCAGTTAATTCTGGTATTTTGTATTTCACTGGTAATTAACAAATCTCCCTTAACTCTTCATATTCGAAGATTTCTTCACAGAAGAAGTTCATTCACTCGTACGAAACATAACACTGCACAAAGTTGAACATTAACTCTTTCAAGCCACTAAGAGAGAAGTTTATATCGTACAATCTGAAAAAGACAGATACACAGATAATGCAGAATAAATATATACAGTTCTAAAGGCATGAAACGTGACAAAACTCGTTCTAATATCAAATTTCACGTGTAATCATGTGACACAGGTGAGGCAGCACGATGTGCCTCCAGGGAAGCACGCCTTAATTTCGGTGAGACAGCCTCGGGGTCAATTGGTGGCCATAAGAGCGAGGCCAGCCACTCGGGTGGAATCATCGCCTCCCGAGCTTCGCCTCTGGAAGGACTGCGACGTGGTTCAGGTACGTGGACTCACGAAAATTTCACGAATCGATGTATAAACGACGGCGTGTGTGATTATGGTATCGATGGAGCCGAACGATCGTTAGATAGTATGGTAATTTCAGCGAGTGTGCTTGTTCTTAAATCACGACACCCTTCGGCGAATTTATCGACCCGATGGAAGAGACCTGGCTATATTCGCAATCGCCTAGTTGTGTGGTCTGAATTGATAAGCGTAATTTATTGCCGGACCATGGGGACCCCGTGAGGCGAGATGAGCAAGATAGTGTAAACGAAATGGCAGCGAAAGTTTAAGAACGCATTTTCGAAGCTGTTAGCGAGACGATTATATCCTTTTACTGGTTTATTGTCTCTGTTAATTTTGTCCTTTGTATTTCATTAATTTCTGAATACTTTTCCTTGGTATTGTTGCAAATTTGGTTGTTAGTTGATTTTACACGCTTGCTTTGCAGTATGTATATTTTTCTAAATGTAGTATTTTTCTATTAGCTGTACCAATATAAGTATGTTCACGAATTGTTACTTCTATTAGCAAAACGTTCACGAGTATACTGGACAAATTAACACCAATGAATTTAATTCATTCGACGTATTTTTCCATATTGAATCCGCCACGTTCAAATTCTGCCAGTGATAGTATTATGTAAGAGAAAAACCAGTCAGGATAACGGTGGTGGGCGGTTAAACAGAGTGAATCCTTGTATTTCGAACTATACTGTACGAGTGCTGATACAATTCTATCTTTCCTGAAAAACCTAGTCAAGAGGACCCCCTTGACAATATGGCCTTTCTTAGCCTTGAGGCAGAACTATCCCTAGGAGGGGGAAACGCAGCAGAAGACTGCACATGGCCCACTCAAGCCTTCGCTTTTTGGACTTTTCTAACAATTATTTGCTGACACCTTGTACGTTACTGTTTCCTTGAAACGAATAATTCATTAGCCATTGGTACACCCATTTAATTCATTCGACGTATTTTTCCATATTGAATCCGCCACGTTCAAATTCTGCCAGTGATAGAATTATTTGCTGACACCTTGTACGTTACTGTTTCCTTGAAACGAATAATTCATTACCCATTGGTACACCCTCTCGAGGGTAAATTCTCTTACCCTCGCTAAACGTGTTAGATTTATCGGTCAGTTGGATATAACAGAAATTAATCTAACGCCTTACTAGGAAGTATATATTACTTTTGTATACGTTCGGAGAAATCCGTTTAACTTTACCGCCTCTGTTTAGTAAAGATCTAAATGTTTATGATACGTGACAAAAGGCCCTTCGGTCCCAAGCGGGGTCGTAGGCAATATACAGTGCCTCAGTCCGTAGACAGTGCTCTTACCATCAAGTAGAAAAGCGAACCTTCCTTGTGTCTAATAAAAGTTTATAGATTAAAATAAGGATTATTAATTATTTAACAACCGGTAACTCCCATAATCCAATAAAACGCACCTGCTAAAATATTCATGCAAACGTTCTTACAATTAGTTAATTTCCAAAAAGACAGACTCGAACCCTAATTTCGAAAGTATGCAATGTAAGCACCACTCGAAAACAAAGAATTAAAGTCAGGATAGTGCGGTATCCCAAAAATAACTTATTCTGTATTTAAGCGATTCTTAAGGTTTCCGGCGTCCGTCTCGCTCGACGGCTATTTCCAGAATGTCCTTTCCGCGTCGTATCCCACGTTGCTCCGAAAAAACGTTGGAGCCCCCTCGTTCGACTTTCCGGGGAAAGGGCTTAGTTTATGGCACCCTCAGGTACCCGCGCGCTTTCTCTTCCTGGGTGACAAAGTCCAGGCCACCACTTCGCCGCCGGAATCTCGCATTTCTTACAGCAATCTCAATTAATTTTCACACAGTACAGACTATTAGAAAAAAATCCACCAAGCACATCTTCACTCCCTGAGTTTCGAAATTCCCTCAATTTCACTGGAAGAACTGTACAAACTTCGAACCACAAGGTCGATACTAATTAATCTATCCTGTTTGCGAAGTTTCTCTGTACAAAGTAAGACGAAGGTGAAGAAGAAGAACAGCGTAAAGGCTCCATCGATTTCTTTCTCTGCGAGGCGTCGTTTGTTAGAGGCGGTGGTTCTCGCAACGGTGCAAATAGAATTAGAAAGTAGAAAGAAAGGTTACATTTCCCCGCAGG